GCCCTCAAAGGCATGCCTGATTTTTTACCCGTGCCTCGAACCCTACCCATCGGTGAATGATAGATGTTTTGTGATTATTAATCACATGATCTGGATTTTTTTTTGGGTGGTGATTTAACCCAGTCATAAATGTAGGAATTTCGATAAAGAATGTATGTTTAATTGTAATCATCAGCAGACTCACCTTCATACAGGACATTTTGTATTCATTTTGCGACATGCATATTTATTTTAAATATCCATTTTAAAATCTACATTTTGCTACCCGACAATGGATTGCTTGAAAATTATGACATTAAATGTATAATTTACTATTTGCAACCATTATGTCAAATTACGTAAATATTTGGATTAAAACAATATTTATGTGTTCTGTGCAATTAAATTGTAATTGTTAAAAAAAGATTATTTTAACGCCATTATATTTTCATGACAAGAATTTGTACAATTTTTGATTACTAATGATCTATTCACTATCATCGATATCAGATATCCCTAAAAATTTTAGTACAAAATGATTAAATATGAATTGGACGATTCATTTAAATTGTCTTTTCAAATAAGAAAGAAAAGTTACTCAATGTTTAGTACACAACAATTATTCTAGATTTCTTTCTTGATCTTGATTACTTAAAAATTAAATTTTTTGTGCGCGAATACAAATTAACTTTGTATATCCGGAATAAACATTTGTAAATTGCAGAATTGAGAAATTTAAACCTAAAGAAGGTAATTGATGGTCCGGAAAATAAAGTCCTCATTATAATTATTATTTTACTATATATTTACTATCTGATGACATTGTGTAACTGATGACACCCAGTTTGTAAAACAATATTAGAAATTATCGATATAAAAAGCGTATACGTATACGTACGTATATATATATATACCTGCAGAGTGCATCGTTCTTCAATTTCTGAATTTACATATCGATATCGACATCAATAAACTATTACAAAGATGACACAACTCCATCCTTTAGCTATAGTGAATAATAATAGGATTTATGCTTTGCGTCAAAATGTGTCTTCTACTAGTCCCAACCCATTTGCGGAATTTCGAATTCAAAATTTGAAGGTAGGCTCAAAGCGTAGTATCAATATCAAATCAATCATATTTTAGCAAGTCTAAAATTTTAAATATTCTCTTGATAATTTTATAGGGACCGATCGATGAAGTAACTTTAAACGATGCGATATTAACACCTTGGGATGCTCGCGAAAATTTTAGTTTTCGAGTATCAGATTATGATGGAATGTCTGCTACAGTATGATTTTTTTTTTTATTCACATTTAGCACCTGCCATATT